CATACCCCTAAAACAGACATCCATCATTAGGAAAAACTCAAAACTGGAAACAGATTCCTGCTAAAAAGGGAGGTTAGCTACAGATCCTTTTGGATTTAACTCTAGGGAGCTCATGGAAACAACAGCGGAAGCTACTAAAGATTCATACAAGATTGGGGCAAACAGTGGGGCCATTTAAAGAGATCCGTGGGTAACACATTCACTGAAAAGAAAGGCCTTATCTAGATGGGAAGGCGGAGAGAGCGGCCTCCACACCTTTTACTGAATGCCTGACTCCAGCAAACAAAGAAATGTCATTTCCCAAATTAAAAAGTTACACCACCCCAGGGAATACCCGGATTTCAACCTACCCACCGGCAATCCCTGCTCCATCCAACAAGCCTGGGAAACACAAATAGCAACAATCAGAATCCTCCAGACCAGGACAACGCTCGAGCTTCACTGGAAGAATACAAAGAGGTTCTAGAACAAATTCCGAGCCCTAGGCCTGGACCCGTTCTGAGAATGCTCCCTAAAGAACGTGCCTTTAAGCATGGGGTCTAGTCAAGAGTTCCGACCCCCGGAATAAATCCCAAGCCCGCCCCCAATTTCTATATAGGTGAGGTTTAGGGGCAGGAAACCCACCCCAAACTTCTAAATAGGTGAGGCTCAGGGGCGAGGCGGGTGGAAGGGAGACCCGAGGGCCAGGTCCCGAGGCTGTGCCTGTGCCGAACCGGCACACCGTTCCCACTGAGCCTGCCGTCCGCCGGGCTGGCTCGCAGCGCAGCCAGTACCCTGACTCCCGGCCTCCGATGACAGCGGGGCACAAGGACGCAGGGCCTCACCCAGCAGGGAATCCTCAACTTGCCGCACCGTACGTGTCACCAGGGATCAGCATCCCCAGCGCCACCCCCCTTGACGAATCCGTCTCCCCTGGAAGACGCTCGGAAGCACTTTGTAACGGGGACCCCAGACCCCAGCCTCTGGACAGGCGAGTCTGGGAAGCTCCCAACCTCCCACGGAGGCAGGCACTATTGTTGTCCCATTTTGCAGATACGAAACAGACTGGGGGTAGGTGCACCATCGCACCGCCTGGAAGGGGCAGAGCGGACTCCCACCCCGACCTGCGAGTGCGTCACCGGCACCTGGCCACCCCCCCCAACCCCGGGTATCACCCTTAGGGCTCGGCGCACCCTCATCCCACCGGGCGGAGGTGCCAGGCCCCCGTCCCAGGGGGTGGGGGTCCCGCCACGCCGAGGCCCGATCTCCCCGGTCCCGTCGGCTCCAGGAGACGGGGTGGCTGCCGCTGACAGCGAAAGTGAAACAAAGCTGGGCGCCGGGCGCGCACCCCGCCGCCTGCCCGCGCGGACGGCCCAGGCCGGCCCCCCCCGAGCCCGGCCGAGCCCGCCCCCAGGCCCGGGAGGGCGCCCCCGCCCCACTCACCTCCGGCCTCCATGGAGGACGCGCGGCCCCGCGGCAGGCGGCGGGCGCCTCAGCCCCCCGGGCCGCCGGCTCTCATGCCGCCCCCGCCCCGGCCCCCGCCCCCTCCCGCGCCCCGGCCCCGCCGCCGCCGCCGCGCCCGCCGCCCGGAGAGGCCATCAGCTGCTTCCCGTCACATGGCGGCGGCGCGGGCGGGCGCGGGGCGGGGCCGGGCGGGGAGCGGGGCTGAGGGGAAGACGGGGGCGGGGCGCGGCGGGGGACCCGGGGGCGGGGCTGAGGGGAAAGGGGCGGGCAGGTGGCCGCGGGCGGGCAGGTGGACGCCGCGGGGACGAAAATCGGGGGCGGAGGGCGGGGCCAGGGGGAACGGAGGAGGGCGTGGGGCGGGCAAGGCGAGGGCTAGGGAGACGTGGGGAGGGGCGGGCGAGCGCGGGTCGGGTAAGACCGGGGCTGGGGGCCAGGATAAAACGCGTGAGGTGGGAGAGCGGAGTGAGAAAACGGGGGGGGGCCAGGGTAAAACCTGTGGTGGGGGGCGCGGGCTGAGAGAAAACGGGGTGCGGGCAGGGTAAAACCCGTGGTGTTGGGGAGCGGGGCTGAGGGGAAAGGCGGGGCGACGAGGGCCAGGTACTTGGGGGTTGCGTGGTCTGAAGGGGAAATGAGTAAAAATGGGGGTGGCAGAAACGGGGCAGAGGGCACGCCAGCCACGGAAAACCTAGGGGACGTGGGGCTTAGGGGAAAACGGGGAGGGGGAACGCAGCTAAGCGGGAGTGGGGAGGCGGGTAATGGGTAAAAGAGGGGGTGTGCGGCGGGGCTGAAGGAAAAACGAGGGAGGGGGCACCGGATGGCACCAGTAGTGGAGGGGAGCTGAGGAGAAAACTGAGGGCGACGCGGCAGGGTGACACCCGCGGGAGGGGGGGGCCAATAAAAAAGAGGGGGAGAGCAGGAGGAGGAGACTGGAATAAAAATAAGGACCTGAAGACACCAGGGATGGGGGATTGGGGAGACAAAAAGCTAACACGAGGAGAGAAGGGGGTTCGGGGACACAGAAGCGGGTGGAAAGCGGGGAGGGGAGTAATGAGGTTAAAGATTAAAATGGGGACCTGGAAGCCAGGAGCCCAAGGGTTCAATGGGAGCCCAGGTGGAGGAGACCAACACCGGGGCTGGGGACCGTGTGCAGGGACAGAGGCAGGGGTGACCTCGGCCCATTTCTTAAAAATGGGAACCCGAAAAAGCCCAGGGGAAAATGGAGAGTGAAACGGAGCATGCCAAGGTTAAAATGGGCGGTGAGAAAGCGTGGCCAGCAAGAGAAAAAGGGGGATCCCAAAAGTGGGGGTCCAAAGACGGACAAACGGGGTAAACGTGGGTGTGATCTCCGAGGGCTGAGGAGAAAGGGGGCAGGAAAGAGGTGCTCAGGGACGGCGGCGAAGAAGTCACTCGGGCAGAGGTAAAATGGGGACTCGGGCTTGGATTGAACACACAAGCACCGTTAAAATGGAGGGACTGGGTGAAAAAGAACGTGGGAAAGTGAGGTTAAGGTAGGAAACACGAATTTGGTTAGAAAAGAAATGGGTTTAAAATGGGACAGTTGTGATAAAGAGCTTAGAGAGCTTGGAGTAAAGTGAAAGGGGGAGAAGGGAATGACCTAAGAGGAAAGGCCTGGAACAGGAAGAGGGAACGGAATTGGGCAACCTCAAGTGAGGTGTCCTGGGGACTACAATTAGCTGAGCCCAGTGAAAAATCTCAAAAGCCATCAGCAACTATGGGACAGGACAGCTGCTATAAACTGTCTTTTCAGACAGACCCTCAGATGGTCCCTGACTCCTATCCTAGCCCTTTAATGTCAGAAAGCATGCAATCTGACCAAAAAGGGGCATGTGTCTGAGGATATGCAGGTAGAAAGAAATGGAAGAACACGTTCCTCAGGGAGATTAGGTAAAGTGAAAGTGTCTCAGTAGGTATAACCGGGTAGGTAACATCTACAAGTCATGGAAAAGAATAAAATGACAACAAGGACAATATTGTTACCGAGATTGGGGAAGCTAGTAAAAAAAAAAATTGGGGAAGGCAATCCCATTTCCCCAAATCTTTCAGTTTATTAATCAAGTCTAAATCAAGATCATGAAAGCATTTATTTAAAAATAACTTTATTCCATAATCTTTTTTTAAAAATCCATATTGTAATCTCAGAACAAATTTCTCCCCAAACCCCGCCCACCCACCATCACCAAATTTTAAACTAAATAATGCAGAGGGACCTGCTTATTCTTTGCAGCAGTTCCTGGCCACTCCCCTGGTGAGAAATACCAGTTGGCACTTACTGCATCATCATAAATTTTACCCAGCAACGGTGATTTTCCAGGTTTCAGTGCAAGGGTGATAGAAATTTTCCGTCATGCATTTTCTTGCTGCAATAATAGGGCCTGTATGTGCTTGTGAGAATTAGAGCCAATATCAAAGCCACAGGATTATGGGAGCCCCTTCCCTGGTGTCCACCAGATTTTGAAGAAAAGAAATGTGAGTTGTGATAGCCCTGAATTATTTATCTTCCTGGTTCTGATAAGCAGATCTCCTGGTCTCTGAGTTCATAATACATTCCGATAAGATTTTTCAAAAGCACAATGTAATAGCTTGGACTTTGCTACACAAGTCTGTAACCTACTGTCAACATGCTTGTGGATTTGGGGATGGGTTATCTCTTAAAGAAAAGAAAAGCCCTAATTCTTCAAAAATCCTTAAAACTTGAAGACCCCCAGCACCTGGGCTCTTAAGTGACGCAGCCACGTTAATGTGTTCACAGGGCTCAGATAGCAGTGACAGCAGTCACAGCTCTGCTCGTCAAAGGTTTATGGTGTTTGGCACCAAGACCCTGACACTCCCATTTGCTAGTGGAAAAAACCCTGCCTCGAAGATTTTCTATTGTGTGTGTGTGCAAGAGAAGAGGAAGTGGCAGAAAGCATCTCAGTGATCTTGCAAATTATTCTTTGTGTTCCCAACTAGGGATTTTTTTCCTACAGTTTTTTTTCCTTTTTTTAAATATGGTTGCCTCTGCATAATTGACTCTCAGATTCAGGAGCGTACTGATGAAGACTAAAGGAGAAACTAGCTCAGTGTTCAGTGACTTCAGAAGCAACCTATCTTCAGCATCTTGTTCTGAAATGACACTAACTTAGACTGGGTGGAGTGGTTCAGTTCGTGAGGTACCAGGCAGCAAAGACCCAGCCCACAAGAACTGCAGTTCACAGCTATTCCTGAGGGGCGAACGTTGCAGCCAGCTCCTGAGCTGCCCAGCGCTCCGAGCTGGGGACACGGCTCACTTCTAGTGATTTGCTTAGTTTAGTCCCTTCATCCAAGAAAACCGATACCCAACCACACCCGCAGAGTAACCCTGCGGATAACCAGCTGCTCACCTTAGGAGTCCCAGTGCCTGTAATTGGAGAAAGGAGGTTCTTGAAACCCTAGGTTTTGTCCATCAGAACAGGGTATGCAACATAAAAGAGTGCAAATTCAAGTCAGATTTTCATGTTTAGCGCATATCCTTTGCTAAGGTCCCTAACATTTAAGAGATTTGGATGAAATCAGAAAAATAAATCTCTAAATTGTACAGGGATTTATTGGAAACATCAGCAGCTTAAACTCATCACATGTTATTTTCTTTTGAAACTTAGTATTACGGATCAGTGTATCCTCCTAATATCCTTAAATAGGAAGGAAACAAGTTTTCCCATTTCCGAGAGTGAGAAACCGGCCAGATGAGCCGGTCTGCCCAAGGAGTACTTTATCACCAAGATACTCCATTACAAAACATTCCTCCTGCCTCCTTTCAAAGCCACAGGGGAAAGGAAGAATGGGAAAGTCTGAAAGCTAATTGTGCATCACTCAAGAGGCTTCTGTATAAATATGAAACTCTGGAAAATGTGAGGTGTCAATGAAAGGCACTTCCTCGTATGGGCCTCTACCTCTTTGGAAAAGAATTGTATCTCCAGGGAAGCAAAAACCATCAGGAGAGCTCTACTAATGCCCTCAGTGGAAACCATGCTACAAAGAAGGAAGAAAAGATGAAAGGCCCAGGCAGCAGCTCGCAGCTTACAGCTGACGGTTTTTTTCCACTAGGGAAGGCAAAGGAGCAGATAACTAACATCCTTTGAGCACCTCTTAGGCACTTTCACATCCAAAAGTACCTCGTTTAGTCCTCACCACAGCCCTGGAAGGTAGGTGTGAGTTCACCTGTTTCATAGATGAGGAAATTGAGGCCCAAGGGAGAGGAAAAGCAACCTGCGCCACCCCACAAAACAAGTCAGGGGCAGGGCTCAGAATCAAGACTGAGTGTCCAACTGCAAAACCCGAACCAAATGGCCTCCCTCTGATGAGCATCAGTAGCTGACACCTCCTCACCTTTTCCAGGGAGCTGACATTTGTCTGGTTTCTCAGCTCACCTGGGCAGTGAAAAAGTGTCCTTGTCACCCCAGGCTAGTCCCTGTGTGCTGGGGCTGGGTGGTTACAGACCTTTAATAGTGGCAAAGGGCACTGAGGCCAAGTGCCTCCCCCTACTCCTGTCCCTACAAGTCAGCATCAGTCAACCTGGACAAAGCCAGGAGTCACAGGGAAAGGGGCATCTCAGACGCCAAATGCAGCTGTCCCTGACACGCTGCCTGTTCCCAAAGCTTTTTAACATCCTTGAGAAAACTTACAGCACGTCAAGCCAATTTAGGAAAAAAATGTCAGGAAAAGTGTGTGTGTGTCTTTCCTTTTTACCAAGTCCCCCAAACCTTTTGAAGCCCTCAGGCAGGGGTGCAGGTCAAGTCAAAGCAGAATGCAAAGCTCATCTTCAGCGTAGCTTTTCAAGCTCTCAAGACAGGATAGTGAAGGACAGTTCTCTTCTTCAAACTGGCCTGTCCTGTTCTTGAACGATGTCACTCTGCTGCTCACTGCTGTCGTCTGTACGGAGGGAAAAATAGATGCGACTCTGAGTGATCTCAGCAGGATCACTCTGTTTTCACTGTCAGTCTTCCAACATCTCGATTTCCAGGCCTTTACTGCTGTGCCTCAGAATTGGATTTCACGGAGGGGCAGGTAGAGCAGGGGCTGTACTTCCCGTTCACCTGTTCTTCTCACTCAGAAGGCTCTAGGCTTGCCTGACGCTGTCCACGCTTCATACTCTTGGCTCATGTCATGCCCCTCACCTACAACGCCCTCTCTCCTGCTTATTCAAACTCAACTGTCCTGAGACACGTGCCTCATATCCCGCTTCTTCCATAAAACTTCTCCCAACCAACGCGCCCCTCAAGACTCTCATCTTACTCTGAAGTCCTGTAGTTTTGAAACGTATCATCCATTAGGCAATTAATCAAATTCCTCCTTGTGACAGCTCCCCTGCTGCTCTCTCACAGTGTTGGTTAGATCTTGCTTCCATTTTTATTTTCCCCACGTGTTTTGGTCTGTTCACACTAACTGGTCTCATAAAGCACCCTGCATGCAGATATCATCGGTCTTTCTTTTTTATTCCCTAGCAATGCCCATCTCGACCCTCTCCCAGAGCAGGCCTTTGTTAAATGTTTGTCAATTTAATTGTCCTGTTGGCAGTTGACAGTAGATTCTCAGGCTCTAGATTAAACTTTAACTATCTTCCCAAGCCTTTAAAAAACCATACTCACCCCTAGAGATTTCCTACTGGGAAGCTCACCACAACCCACCAGAGTGCTTTTAAGGAAAAAGAGCTTACCTTGCAGAGCCTGGAGTCCATTGCCCATCCGGTCTACGTCCCCATTCACCAGTGCGGTCACTCTGTGAATGTGGCCATGCTTGTGTATTTCTTTTGGCAACTCCTCCCTCTCATTTGCGTCCTCCTCCTCCACTCCTGCAGCATCTTCCTCCTCCTCCACCTCTTCCTCTTCTGAATCCACCAAAACCATGACATCATTCATGTCTTGCCCCCTAATTTCCAAAGGGGAAGAAATAATCAGGAAGATACCCTGTTTTTTCCAACGTCAGCCCTCGCTGAATAGGAAGTACTAGATTCTTTACAACCCCTTTGGTAACGTGGAAAATTATTCATGCATTGAACTTGGGTAAGTCACAAGACGACAGTGTGATTGTAACTTCTGAAGAAGATGCTACCACAGGTTGTTACAGATAATCCTATCTTTTCCTGGGTGAGTTTTATCCCTCCCCCCTGGCTCCTCTGGCAGGTCACCTCATTGTCCCAGGCACCTACCTACCATTTTGAGGCTCCCGTCAAAACAAGTACACAAGTGTTCTGCTCCTTTCCTGAAATGCCCTTATTTCTGCTCCACTTACTGAATTTTTTCCTCCTCTTTGTTATTCAAGGCCCAGGTAAAGTCCTCTCCCTCCCCCTGAAGCCCTGAACTACGACCACATTTGGAGTCCGTGGCCAGCGGTTTAGCATTTAGTTCTCTAGTTCATTACTGGTGTTGCCGACCCAGCCAGACTGTACATTTCTAAAGGAAGGAAGAACCCATGCCATGGGCCAGTCACAGTCCTAGGAGCATCACATTCTCATTTAATCATCACAGTCTTCCTGTGGGAAACAGATAAGGAGGCAAAGGCTCAGAGAAGGTCAGGATTTTCCGTGATATCAAGGCTTGGGAACTGCAAAGCTGCGATTTGAACTAAGGTCCACTAACCCCAAAGCCTTTTCCCACTATGCCACCCTACCACCTCCTCTGAGAAATAAGCCTGGGAATGACACACTGACTGGGAGCATGGCCCTCAAATATGGGGGGGGGGGGGGGGAGGTACATTTTCCCATGAAAGATGGTCCCAGAACAACAGTATCCCATTATTATGAATGGGTAAAGAGAAACAAAGAGAAAAGTTCTTTGTTCCCACTCAGATTCTCCTTAGGAAATAAAATACATGAGTTCCATTTAGTAACTTTGCCCCTACTGAGGTTTCCTTTTGGGAGGGGCTTCTTGGCATGTTCAGACTAGTCTTCCAAAACATGTTGGAACCCTATGACTTATTCTTCCTTTTAGCTCTTTTTAGAAAATTGGATAAAATAAATGCATGAATGACTGGGCTCAATACGTACACGCTGTCTTCGTGCCTCAGCGACAGACCAGCAATGTGCCTTGCCCTGAGATCTGGCATTGTAAAAAGAGCACAGACTTTGGAATCAGTCAGACCTGGGTCTGAATGCAAGCATTGCTGTTTACTTCCTGGATGAGCTCGCAGAAATTACTTCACTAAGCCTCCAGCTCCTTGTCTGGAAAATGGAGATGCCTCTTCTACCATGAAGAGTTTATGAAAGGGTTTCTTTTTTTTTTTTTTGAGGAAGATTAGCCCTGAGCTAACATCTGCCAATCCTCCTCTTTTTGCTGAGGAAGACTGGCCCTGAGCTAGCATCCATGCCCATGTTCCCCTACTTTATATGTGGGATGCCTGCCACAACATGGCTTAACAAGCGGTGCCATGTCCGCACCCAGGATCCGAACCAGTGAACCCTTGGGCTCCCAAAGCGGAACGTGCAAACTGAACCTGCTGCACCACTGGGCTAGCCTTTGAAAGGGTTTCTAATAATGCCTAATGAAGGCCCTAGCCCAGTGACTGACAGCTGGTAGGTTGTCAATGATAGTTGCTATTACTGTTCTTATGAAGGAAACAAAACAACAGTGAAGAAAGATCATGGAAAAAGGGTTTTTGATTTGATTTTAGGGAATACTCACCTGAAAGTGTTTCCTACTGCAGGGAGAAAGGAAAAAAAAAATTAATATCCAAGAACATCTATTTCAGCCTCACAGAAGTTTTTAATCTATGTAACATTTACAAAACAATGGACAATGAGAAAACTGACCCAAAATGAGAGGTGGCAGGTGTTAGGAAGGATTGAGTGCTTCACTGTTACACATCTGGACCCAATGAAGAAGCCTATAGAATGGGACTTCAGGTGGAGACAAAGCAGGGCCTCCTTCCCCCACCCACACCCTTTCAAGAAGCCTGAAAGATAAGCAGAGGGACCCCAGAAGTCCTTACCTTTCCAGCAGAACACAGGGCTGTAATACAACATAAGCCCTGAGATAATGGCCAGTCCCAGCAGAAGAAGGCTCACGATAGTGCCCACAATTCCACCAATATTTAAAGGTTCTGTAAAGACAAATTACACCATTGACTCTTCCCTGTGATACACATGCAGCTAGGAGAGCAACACCTCCCGTCCTCTGCCTGGGTCCTAGTCTTATTTTGGTCTCATGACCTTGGGCAAAGTATATGAAATCTCTGTAAAGCAAGATAAATGTCTTCCTCAGATAGTTTGTGGGACTCAAATGAAGCATGTAATGCAAAAGAACATTGGGAAGTTAAAATTTCTATGTGTCCATTAGGCATCAAGACTGTTTATACGACAGAAATTAAGGGCATGAGTTACTGGTGCCATGATAAACAGTATCAATGGAACAGAATAGAGAATCCAAAACAGGCCCACACATAAAAGGAAACTTGATATATGACAGATTAATAAGTAAAAGAGGAACTACTCAAGAAACGGTGTTGGAACAAATGGTTATCCAAATTTGGGGGCAAGGAGAAACTTGATCCCTACCTCACACCATTCACAAAAGTCAATTCTAGATGGATTAAAGATTTAACTGTGAAAGGCAAATGTTAAAACTTTTAGAAGAAAGTGTGGAGAATATCTTCATGACTGTGGGATAGATAAGGAATTCTTACATCACAAAAATTGCTAACGATCTAAGAAAAGATTCATAAAATCAGCTACATTAAAGTAAGAACATCTGCTAATCAAAGGATACCATAAAGAGAAAAAGACAAACAACAAACGGAAGGAAATATTTGTAACACATAAAACTAACAAGGAATTCGTATCTGGAATTTCTAACAAACTCCTACCTAACTATAAGAAAGGGGAAACTGTCAAAGACAGAAATATGTATTTCTCAGAGAAACATAAATAACAAATAAACATGAAATAACTTTCAGACTTTTTAGTAACCAGGGAAATTCAAATTAGAACCAGAGTGAGATTCCATTTTACACCTACTTGATAGGCAAAATCACAAAGCCTACGGGTGAAATCGTGGAACAACTCAACACTCTTATGTACTGCTGTTGCAAATGGAAATTGGTACAACCACTTTGGAAAATAATCTGGTGTCATCTCAAAGACAAAAATGCACATAACCTATAACCCTTCATTTCTACTCCTTGTAGATATCCTAGAGAAATATTTGCCTGGGGACTGGTATATAAGTACACAAGGAGCTGGGTAAAAGAATTTCATAGCAACACTGTTAGTTCATCACAACAAAAACATCAGAAACAGCACAAATGTCCATCAGCAGGAAAATTAGTAACTTAGTTGTGGAATAGTGACACTGGGAAGTTATAAAGCGTTGAAGAGTTATAAAGTATAATTACATCAGCATGAATAAATCCTAGAAACAAAGTGTGGAGTGAAAAAAAGCAAGTCATAAAAGACTACATTTGTATGATAACCATTTTTTTAAAACTCAAAAACAAAAATAAACAATATATTATTTAGAAATGCACACACATGTAGTAAAGTTTTTCTTAAAACATGAAATTCAGGATAGTGGTTATCTTTTTCAGGAGGCCCAGGTGGAGACTGAAAAGGGGCCTACAGGTAGGGTTGATAAAATACAGGATGCCCACTTAAATCTGGATTTTGGATAAACAACAACAAAGTTTTTAGAATAAGTATGTCCCATGCAATATTTGGGACATACTTACACTATGAAAATTCTTCTTTGTTTTTCTGAAATGCAAAGTTAAGTGGGCATTCTGTGGTTTTGTTGTTGTTTTCTAAATCTGGCCACACTACCTACAGGTAATTTAGCAATGTTGCCACTGTTCTAATGTCTTAAGTGGAATGGGAGTTTCTTGGGTGTTCATTTTGCTATTATGCTTCACAACTTACATTTTATATATAGATATTTTTATATATGTATATATTTCATTTTAATATATATTTTTTACATTTATATTTTTTCTAATATATATATTCCTTCCTTTGGGATACACAGATGTTAAGTAGTTTTTTTTATCCCTATGCAAATGTTAGAGATTTAGGACTGAACAATAACTTTTCCTATCCATTTTGTCAAGCCATAGGCAAGCAGGTATGCCTTCTCTCAGGTGGCAGTGACCCACGTGCAGGGAAGAAGCAGCTGTCCCCATGCTGGTACCGGGTCCTCTGAAGCTCTCAAACCTCCTCTTTTGGGGCCACTTCCACCACTCACCTTTCACGCTCAGCCAGATGTCCACCTCCCTCACCCCCACGGGGTTCTCAGCCCGGCAGACATAGTAGCCCTCATCCAGGTCCTGGGAGCAGTTGCGGATGGTGAGGGTGGACCTCTGGCCATTCTGGGTGATGAGATAGTGGCTGTTGGGCTGGATGACCTCCTCGGGCTGGGTGAGGTTCCTCAGCCACAGGATCTTGGCAGAGGGGTAGGCTCCAGACACTTTGCAGGTGAGTGTCACATTACCCCCTATGAAGCAAGTCTTCATGGGCTCAGAGAGAAGGGAGGGGCTCCCTGGCAGTGAAAGAAAGTAAAGAAAGACATATGTTTAAGGAGATCCAAGGAGTCGCCTGAGATTTTCAAGAATATTCTTTCTTTCCTGACAAAGCATCTCCAGGAATTTCTGTACCACAGCTGGTGTTATCTAATAATAAAAGCTGTCATTTACTGAGCACTGACTATGGGCTAGGCACTGTTACACATATTAACCCAATTAGTTCTCACAACTACTCTGTCATTATCCCCATTTTGCAGATGCGGAAACCGAGGTACAGAGAAAGTTAAGTAACTTGCTCAAAGTCATACAACTAAATAAGTGGTGCAGCTAGGATTTAGGGTCACCAACTGTCCTGGTTTGCCCAAGACTGAGGGCGTTCCCGAGACCTGGGGCTTTCGATGCTAAAGCTGGGAAAGTCTTGGGCAAACCAAGATGAGTTGGTTACTGAGTGTGAGATTGGAACCCAAGGAATCAGGCTTTTTGTAGTCCACACTCCTTACTTCTATGCTATAGGCTTCTATGTCCAATAACCACACTGATCATATGAAAAATGGGCACGCAGCCTGACAAGGATATTCAAGAGGACAACAGGGCAGCTGTATTAGTTTCCTAGTGCTGCCGTAACAAATTGCTACCAACAGTGGCTTCAAACAACACAAATTTATCCTTTCACAGTTCTGGAGGTCAGAAGTTGGAAACGATCTCATGGGGCTAAAATCCAGGGGTTGGCAGAGATAGTTCCTTCTGGGAGCTCCAAGGGCGAACCTGTTTCCCTGCTTTTTCAACTTGGAGAAGTCGCTTGCATTCTTTGGCTCGTGGCTCCTTGCATCACTCCGACCTCTCGCATCTTTTATCACATCTCCTACTATTGAGCCTCACCCTTCTGCCTCCCTCTTATAATGACCCTTGGGATTACACTGGGCCCACCCATCTCAAAATTCTTAATTTAATCACATCTGCAAAGCCCCTTTTGCCATGTAAGGTAATATATTCACAGGTTCCGGGGATTAGGACATGGATGTCTTTGGGGGCCCATTATTCTGTCTGTCCTAGAAAACTCAGAATGCATGTCTCTGTGGCCTTGGGGTCTGATTTGAATAGGATGTGGGGAGCTGTAAGGTCTACCATAGTGATCCAATTGTTTTCTTTGCATAAGAAGCCCTTCCCCAAAATGCAAACCCTCCTGGGAAGCAGATCATCTTGGGGGACTTATTAAGTCCATATTTTCAGCAGCTGAGGGATACGGAGTGGCATGCTGGGTTCCTGCCCGGGAGAGTGAAACTGCATGCTTCCCCTTGGCAGTCGTTCTGAGAATCTAGGGTTTCACTGCTGGCGTCCTGGGAACGGGAGGGGGGAGGCATGGGAGTGTGGAATAGCCCCAGAGCCTCTCTCTCCTGGTCAGGTCAACAAAAGAGAAGCCCCCAAACCTAGTTCTGCTCAGGAAACTCACATGCGAGCACCCCTTCTTGGATCAACATTTAGGTTCCCCCCATGTTGCTAAATTGTACCTTCCCCTCTCTGTGGTTAACCTGAATTTCCTTTGGGGTCATAAAGCCAGCAGCAGTGACAAGCCTTATTGGTATGTTTGTATTTGAGGGCCCCCAAACCAAAGTTTGACACCCTCATCATTTATTAAAAGCAAAACAAATAATCCCCCTGGTGGACCCCTCTGCCCCCAAACAAATGTCACGTACATGAATGTACTTTTGCCAAACAGAGCATTCACTCCTCAGAAAGCTCTGAGTCACCCATCCAGCTACTGTGGCACTTATAAATTCAAGGAGTTTAGCTTAAGAGGATGCTGTGTGCAAGGGTCGGGTCAGGGGTTGGGGTGGTGGGGGTGGGTGATGCAGGGCCCTCAGGGATCTGTAAGATGGACAACATACTGGGGCCTTCACATACTGGGCTGGCTAATGTTGCAGCCTGTCATGAGTTGAATTGGTTTCTTCAGTCTAGGGACCTACAAGCCATAAAAGAGAGCTCTGGGTAGCAGGACTTCCTGAAAGCATCATTTTGGGGGCTACGCTCTTCTGCATCCCTGAGGTGTGAACATTAATATTACCTTTCAATGACTTACTAGTCCTCCCAAGTGAAATGATCCAGAGACTCTCCCCAAGGGCACTGCTACTGGAAGTGTGGTCTGAGGACCAAGCAGCCTTAGCACTTCCGGGCACTAGTTAGAAATGCAGAGGCTTGGGCCCACCCCAGACCTAGAGAGTCAGAATCTGCATTTTAATCAGACCCCCAGGTGACTCGTATGCACATCAAGGCTGGACTCAAGTGCTCATGAAGGGAGGAGGTGAAATATGGACATTGTCAGAGTCAAAAAAGTTCCAGGCTCTTGTGCCTGCTTCCCATACTCCTGGAATTGGGAAAACTTCTGGTCAGCTCCCTTCCGCAGACACATTTCTTAATCTTGAGCACATATCTAGGTTCAAATTACTGGCCAAGTCTCAGGGCCACAGGAATGATGATTTAGGCAAGATATGCAAATAAAATGGAAGGGTGGGGGGGGAAAGACACAAAGCTCATCAGCTGCCTCTGCCATTTTCCCCCTCTCTCAGCATCAGTCCATCATTTATCCACTTCCTGGAACTTACTGTCCACAACACACTTCGGGAGTCTTCATTATGTTCCACTCTGGACATGTGCACTGCTTTCCAGCTGCAGGAGTCTGGGCAAGTCCATTGCCTCAGTTCCACCATCCACAGAATGGAGGGTAGCAGGTTGAACAGCATTCTCCCAAAATTCATGTCCACCCGGAACCCCAGAATGAGATCTTATTTGGAAATAAGGTCTTTGTAGATGTAATTAGTTAAGGATCTCAAGATGAAATCATCCTGGATTAAGGGTGGGCCCTAAATCCAATGACGGGTATCTTAGAAGAAGAAGAGAAGACAACAGAGATACGCACACAGAGGAGAAGGCCATGTGGTGACGGAGGCGGACAGAAATTGGAGTGATGCAGCCACAGGGCAAGGAACGCCTGGAGCCACCAGCTGGAAGAGACAAGGAAGGCAAGAAAGGAGCTTGGAGCCTTCCATGGAGGCATAGCCCTAGAGATACCTTGATTTTAGATTTCTAGCCTCCAGAACTGTGAGAAAATAAATTTCTGTTTATTTTAAGCCACAAAGTTTGTGGTACTTTGTTATGGCTGCCCCAGGAAACTACTAGAGGCAATAATATGAGCACTCACTGGACAGCTTATTTTCAACAAAGAACCAAAAACACACAATGGAGAAAGCAAAGTCTCGTCAATGAATGGTGTTGGGACAACTGGACGGCCACATGCAAAAGAATGAAAGCAGACCATTATCTTGCACCATACACAAAAATTACATCAAATGGAAAAGACTTGAATGTAAGACCTGAAACCATAAAACTCCTAGAAGAAATATAGACAGCACACTCTTTAACATCAGTCTTAGCAGTATCTTTTTGAATACCATGTCTCCTCAGGCAAGGGAAACAAAAGAAAAAATAAACATATGGGACTATAACAAACTAAAAAGGCTCCGCACAGCAAAGGAAACCATCAACAAAAAAGACAGCCCACCAACTGGGAGAAAATCCTATATCTGATAAGGGGATAATATCCAAAATGTATAAAGAACTCACACAACTCAACAGCAACAAAAATGAACAACCTGATCAAAAAATGGGCAGAGGATGTGAACAGACATTTTTCCAAAGAAGATATACAGATGGTCCACAGGCACATGAAAAGATGTTCAGTATCACTAATTATTAGGGAAAAGCAAATCAAAACTATAGTGAGATATCACATCACACCCATCAGAATGGCTATAATTAACAAGACAAGAAATAACAAGTGTTGGAGAGGATGAGGAGAAAAAGGAACCCTCACACACTGCTGGTGGGAATGTAAATTGGTGCAGCCATGGAGATTTGTCAACATGGATGGCCCTTGAGGGTATTATGCTAAGTGAAATAAGGCAGAAGGAGAAAGACAATTACTGTATGACTTCACTCATATGTGGAAAATAAACAAACACACACATAGATAAGGAGAACAGATTGGTGGTTACCAGAGAGGAAGTGGGTGAGGGGAGAGCAAAAGAGGTAAAGGGGCACATATGTATGGTGACGGATGGAAACTAGACTTTTAGACTTTTAGTGGGGAACATGATGCAGTCTATAGAGAAGTCAAAACATAATGATGTACACCTGAAATTTATATGTTATAAACCAATGTGACCTCAATAGAATAAAAAAATTAAAATTTGCTAAGAGAGTAGATCTTAGTTGTGTTCTTAATCTCAAAAAAATAGATTTCATAATAAAAAAGTGGGAGGAAACTTTTGGAGCTGATAGATATGTTTCTGTCATATACTGTGGTGATGGTTTCATAGATGTATACTTATCTTCAAACTCATTGAGTTGTATATATAAATATGTACAGCTTATAAATGTCAATCATACATCAATAAAGTGGTTTTAAAAATAATATGAGCACTCAGCTTATAAAGGGTGACTATGAGGACTACATAAGATACTGCGTGGAGAACACTTAGCATAGCACCTTGCAGACAGTTGGCACTCAATAAATGTTAATGCACTCTTACTGTGATATTGCTGTTTCCCTGTTTCACATTTGTCAGACCAACCTCTCCATTTCAAGTCCTCTAAAGGCAAGTATTCTGGGTTCCCCTACAGTATCTGGGCACCGTGCTAAGTACCTAACTCCTACACAAAAAGATTTGCTGGATTAGGTATGGAGGGTCTCGAGGGAGGGAAGGGCTCTGGAGTCAGACCAACCTGGGCTAAGCGCTGGCTCAGTCACTTAGAAGCTAAGTGATCTTGGGCAAGTTAGTTCACACAATGCCATTATCTGCAACTTACAAATCATCCTGTCTAATTTGCAGGCTATTGTGAGGATTACAAATAACACATTAATAATCAGGAAACAGGAAAAGACCTTCTGAGCTCAGAAACCTAAAACAGGACTGACAGAGGTGACCCTTTCAAAATCAGAAATTGCTCATCACTAACAGAAATGCCACAAATGTAGTTTAGGAGCAAAACATGCCAGAAAAACATCTATAACATGCATGACATTTCTATGAAATTAACTGACAAAGTTAATATGAAGTACTGTATGGAATATTAAGAAAAGATGAACAACCCAATAGAAAAATGGACAAGATAAGAACAGATAATTCACAGATGATATATAGGGAGCCAATATGCATACGAAAATTATCAACCCACTATTGATCAAAGAAACTCAAATTGAATCAATTACGCCATGTCTTAAACAAATAGGAAAAGTCTAAAAAGTTAATTATAACACTCAATGTCAGTGGAAACGACATTGTCAGTGGAAATGACACTCAATGTCAGTGGAAAATACTAGGAAATGAGTACTTGCACAGTGTGTCTAGAGGGAGTGACTGCCAGCGGGTACAGGGTTTCTTTTTAGGGTGATGGAAATGTTCTGTAAAGAGATAGTGGTGATAGTAATACACCACTGTGTATACTGTGAGAGTAATACACCACACTAATGGTGGTGTGTGGTAACACAACATTGTGAATATCCTAAAAACCACGGAATTACAGACTTTAAAATAGTGAAGTTTATGTTATGTGAATTATATGTCATTAAAAAAAATTGCAAAAAGTCAGTTGGGGCAGATCGGGCTCAGGGGCCATAGTTTGCCCACCCCTCTTCCAGCCTAGAAAGAGTCTTGGTCCCTTCGGTTGCCCAAGGCCAGATACAGTGCCTGACACAGAGGGGACACTTGGGACATGATTGCTGAATGTCAGTGGGAAGGGCCAACCATTTAAATATCACTTGCTGGGAAAACAAGCACCTCCTGGCATAGCAGGGCTGAATTCTCAGCACGTCTGCTCTCCACGGCGGCACCTCTGAGGCTTATCCTGATAAACTGTGAGGAAAAGCTCACCATGGCCAACAAAACTCAACACACTCTGGTCCTGCCTACCTGCTGTGTTAATTTCCTGTTAATTTTCTTGTAACAAAAGTACCACAAACTGGGTGGCTTAAAACAACAGAAATTTATTCTCTCACAGTTCAGAAGGTCAGAAGTCTGAGATCAAGGTGTCAGCAGGCTCGATCGCTCTCGAGGCTCTGAGAGAGAAACCATCCCAGGCCTCTCTCTCAGCTTCTGGTGGTTGCCAACAATCACTGGCATTCCTTGGCTTATAGATGTACCACTCCAGTCTCTGCATCTGTCATCACATGGCATTACCCCTGTGTGTCTGTGTCCAAATTTCCCTCTTCTTATAAGAACACCAGTTATTGGAATAGGGCCCACCCTAATCCTCATCTTACCTTAATCCTCATCTTACCTTAATCAACATCTGCAAAGACCATATTCCAAATATGGTCACAGACACAGGTACTCAGGGTTCAGACTTGAACATACTTTTTGGGGGACACAATTCAACCACGACACCCATCCAGCCTATCAGTACCTCACATATGGCACTCTGGCTACACTGGCCTCTCTCAGTTCCTCAGAGGCCACGTATATTTCCACCTCAGGGCCTTTGCATTTGCTGTCCCCTCTGCTTGGAATACTCAACCACAGATCTTCACCTGGCCAGCTCTTTCCCATCCTTTAGGTCTCAGTTCAAAATGTTACTGCCACGAAGAGACCTTCCTGCCACCCTAGGAAGAGGGGCCCTCTTTCTTTAATATACTCTCTTTTACATACTTCGTTTTATTCTCCTCATAATTATCATCACTATCTGAACCTATATTATTTGTTTTGTATTTTTTGTCTTCTCCCACCTGCACTCCACCCACAAGAATTTATGTTCTGTGAAAGAGGAATGGTTGTAGTTTTAAAAATATGTCCAGAAAATTCTTTGATACTTCTCCCTTCAAAAAATGGAGCCTAGTCGGGGCTGGCCCCGTGGCTGAGTGGTTAAGTTCGTGCGCTGTGCTGCAGGCAGCCCAGTGTTTCGTTGGTTCAAATCCTGGGCGCGGACATGGCACTGCTCATCAAACCGCACTGAGGCGGCGTCCCACATGCCACAACTAGAAGGACCCACAACGAAGAATATACAACTATGTACTGGGGGGCTTTGGGGAGAAAAAGGAAAAAAATAAAATCTTTAAAAAAAAAAAAATGGAGCCTAGGGGCCGCCCCCATGGCCGAGTGGTTAAGTTCGTGTGCTCTGGTTCAGCGGCCCTGCGTTTCACCAGTTCGGATCCTGGGTGCAGACCCAGCACCGCTCATCGGGCCATACTGAGGCAGCATCCCACACAGCAGAGCCAGAAGGAACTACCACTAGAATATACAACTGTGTACTGGGGGGCTTTGGGGAGGATAAGAAGAAGGAAAAAAGAAAGATTGGCAACAGATGTTAGCTCAGGACAATCTTTAAAAAAAGAAAATGGGGGGCCAGCCCAGTGGAGCAGTGGTTAAGTGCGCACATTCTGCTTCGGCGGCCCAGGGTTCTCCAGTTCCGATCCGGGTGCGGACATGGCACCGCTTGGCAAGCCATGCTGTGGCAGGCGTCCCACGTATAAAGTGGAGGAAGATGGGCACGGATGTTAGCTCAGGGCCAGTCTTCCTCAGTGAAAAGAGGAGGATTGGCAGCAGTTAGCTCAGGGATAATCTTCCTCAAAAAAAAAAAAAGGAAAATGGAGCTTAATACTTCCTGTACCCTTTCAAAGTGGACCCAGACTTAGTGACTCACTTCTAATGAATAGTATGTGGTGGAAGGGATGTCATGTGACTTCTGAGGCTAGGTCATAAAAAGGATAGGATCTGCCTGGCTCACGCCCTCTTGCATCACTTGCTCTGGGGGCAGCCAGCTGCCATGTTGTGAGGACACTTAAGCAGCCGTGTGGAGAGGCCCACACGGTGAGGAAGCAACTTGCCAGCTGTATGATCCTTCGAAGTGGATCTTTCAGATGATTTCAGCCCTCCTCTTTCAGCTGAGTCTCCAGGCATCATGGAGCTGAGAGACACACCATCCCCACAATGCCTGTCTGCGTTTCTGGCCCACAGAAATAGTGAGAGAATAAATGACTTGTTATTTTAAGCCATTAAGTTTGGTGGTAATTTGTTACATAACAGGAGGTAACTAATAAATGAACCTTGTCCATCTTGTTCACTGCTCCATCTCCAGCACCTAGAAACTGTGCCTGGCACAGAGCAGGTGCTCAGTGAGTATTTGACAAGTGAAAAACAGCTTGGACTAGGACCAAGAAGCTTGGTTAAGCATTTTTAAGTTTGAAAGGAAGGAAACAAAGCAAAAGAAAGGAAGAAATGGAAGGAATTCAGTTCATTCTGACACCCTGGGATTTCTTTCCCAGACCTTCTTTTAAATGGTCCTCCCAGAAGAAAGGAAGGTGGGTGGACCCCAACCCCAGGACAAGGCAAGCCAGACTCACTGATCTGTACCACACAGCTGGCTCCTGACTCTGGCCCCACTACGTGGCTCCCAACACACTTGAACTTCTTGCCATCCGACAGTTGGGACTGGTTCAGCATCTCCACTCCCAGTTTTGATGAGCCCACGACAACACCTCCTGGCTCTTCTGTCCACAGAAAGTCTGGGTCTGGGTATCCCCCGTCCCAGCGACAGGTGAGCTGCAGCTTGAACAATCCTGGTGACATCTCTGCCCAGCACTGAGGAGCTGATGGAGGGGGGTCTGCAAAACACCAGAGGACGTGGGCTTAATCACAGACTCAAGACAAGCCATTGGGCTGGCTCTCAAGCTTACAGAGCCAGGGTATCAGAGAAACATCCACCCCAGTTAGGGTACCTTGAAATAGCTCCCAGCACAAATGAGTGCCTGACAATAGTCAGGTTCTCTCTGTTGGGTGTTAAATCTCCAAGGGGGACATGGGCCTCATTTATCGTTGCATTTCTTGCTAGCCACATGTGGCTATTTAAATTTAAATTAAATTACAAATTTAGTTCTTCTATCACACTACCCACATTTTAAGAGCTCAGTAATCACACATGGTGGGTGGCTACTGTATCAGATCACACAGAATAGAACATTTCCATCATCATGGAAAGTTCTACTGGACAGTGCTGATCCCTAGAGGGAGTTACAGGTGGGAGGGGGACAGATTCACCCCCACCCCCAACATATACTTCCTTTTTATTATGTGCATGTATTATTAAAACACACATAAAAACTTAATAAGTTACAAACCTGTAAATCCAATACATGTATTAATAACTATAAAAATTCATATATATTATAAATGTATATACTATGTATATATTATGTATGTAATCAAATATTTTTATATATTTTATATAATATCCATAAATAGAAATAAATTTGGATCTTACGTGGATGAATAGATATGTGGCATCTACAAGAAAAATTATTGGAAATATACCAAAATAATGGTTAGAGTACAAGTGATTCTTTTCTTCTTTATACAGTCATGCATTGCTTAACGACAAGGATACATTCTAAGAAATGTGTTGTTAGGCGATTTCATCATTGTGTGAACACGTAGAGTGTACTTACACAAACCTAGATGGCACAGCCTACCACACACCTAGGTTCTATGGTACTAATCTTATGGGACCACCCTTGTATATGCAGTCTGTCTTTAACTGAAACGTCATTATGCGGCATGTGACTGTATTCATTTATATTTCCAACAGCAAGCACATTTGACTTTATATACAATAAATGTCATTTATGACAGAGAACATAGAGACACATAAAAGTTCTGAATAACATGAATTAAATAATGTGTCATTATCCTGCCCACTAATTTGTTGTTCTGATGTTCCCTTTGGTTAGCATCGATTATGAGTATACTCAGCGTGTCTACAGTTATTTTCGTTTGGGAAATTTGTGTCTAAATGCATTTGGTTATTTCCTCACCCCAAAAATAAAGATTCATGCTGGTTCCTAACAGTGCTAGAGGGCCCAGGCTTCAGGAATAGAGTGCATGAGGATAGATGAATGAATAAACAAATTGTGGTCTATCCATATAACAGAATATTATTCAACCATAAAAAGAAAGGCAGTACTGACACATGCTACAACATGGATGAATCTCAAAAACTTGATGCTAAGAGAAAGAAGCCAGTCACAAAAGGCCACATAGTGTCTGATTCCGTTTATATGGAATGTCCAGAGCAGGCGCATGCGTGGAGCTAGAACAGACTGGCGGGTGCCAGGGGCTGAGGGGGAAGAGGGGATGGAGGGACTGCTTAATGGATACGGGATTCCATTCGGGGTGATGAAGATGTTCTGGAACTAGATAGAGGTGATGGCTGCACAACATTGTGAATGTACTAAATGCCACTGAGTTGTACATTTTAAAATGGTTAATGTTATGGACTTTCATCTCAATTAAAAAAAAAAAGCATTAAGCTAGGCATTAATTCCCTCTCTGGCTCACAGGGACTCTTCTGTACCCCTACTTAGCAGCAAGCTTCTAGAAGAGGTGACTCCCTCTCTGACATGCAGCCCCTGGGTGTGTCCGTGTATGCTGAAGCATGGTAGGACTCATGCAGCGGGCACACCTTTGTCGACAAAAGGAAGAGGCACAAACATGCAGTTCACAAAGGGTCAAGGAGAGGAAGTGGGGGCGGGGAGTGCTGCTTACGCACAGTAGACAAGGAGCTCAGTGGTCACCTTTCGATGCCTCCCACTGAGCATGTTCATGGCCGAACAGGTGTAGTTCCCTTGGAGGTTTCTCGACATCAGCAGCAGAGTGAAACAGCTGACCGTCAGGTTGTTTCCAAAGGGCTCGTTCCTGGAATGCGGGGCCTGGAACCACCACTCCACCATAGGCGAAGGCCGGGAGTTGCTCCTGCAGCTGAAATCCACCTGGGAGCCCTGGGCTGCATAGAGGGTGCCGTTGGGGAGCGAGCCGGTGGTGGAAATGTTGACTTCAAGCTGATAGGGGCCGCCTGAGAAGAACAGGGGGGATGGGGAAGACTTGAGAGTTCATTTGAGCTCCAGCAGACACAAATGATCAGGAAGCAGCCAATGAGGACAATATGGAATACTTACTATGTGACAAATGCTATGCTAAGTGCCCTTACGGCAAGTACCCTTATTTAATCCTGAGTGATTACGTGAGACTTATGGGGGCTATCAATCCTTATAGAAAAGGGAATATGCGAATTGCTCCTCTTCAAAAACACTGGTGAATGGAAAGGCTATCTGTGCACTAAAGAGCTGACACTGCAGGCCTGAGTCTGCTGTCCTTAGAAAGGCCTGCTTACAAGGTTGGCCTTGGCTGGCAGCTGAGAACTTAGGTTTCGGGAGAGTTCTCACCATTCCCAGAACTGATAAGAGGGGGACTCTCTGTGCCTATGCTGTTTGTACAAACAGCGTGGTTTATGCTGAACACCTGCTTTCCCTCTGAGAGTCTGGAATTTCGGTATGTGCTGGGCAGAGGATGCCTACGTGACTAGCCCCAGTAAAAACCCAGGGTGCTGAGTCTCTAAGGAGCTTCCCTGGTAGGCGGCATTTCACACGTGTGGCCACAACTTGTTGCTGGGGGAATTAATCGTGTCCCATGTGATGCCCCTGGGAAGGGACCCTTGGAAGCTGCCTCCTGGTTTTCCCTGGGCTTAACCCGTGTACCGTTTCTCTTGGCTGATTCTGCTTCGTATCCCTTCACTGTAATAATCATGTTACACACTGAGTTCTCTGAGTTCTCCTGGAGAAGCGCTAAAACTGGAGGTGGTCTTCGGGACACACAGCACAATTTCACACTGAAAGACCAGAAACATTGGTTCCAGTTCCAAGTCTGGACTCCACTTACTAGCTGTGTGACTTTGGACAAATTACTTAACCTCTCCTAGTCTCCATTTCCACATCTGTAAAATGGGGGTGATGCTAGAACCTACCATAGGGGATTGTGGTGACAATTAAAAGAGTTACTACAGTAGAGCACTCAGAACAGTGCCTGGCACGTTGAAAGCAGTTGATCAATGCTAGGTCTTATCTTGGTTTCCCCTCACATTTCTGAACTTCTTGTCCCCAGAAATGCCTTCCCACTGTTGGTACCCATGCACCGACATCCCCTTTGATGAAAAGAATAATTCTTAACACCTGTGTATACTAAAGTCATTTAGTGTGTCACCCCTCCCAAAGATGTCCTCTTTTAAAAAGAAGAAGTTAGGAGGGCACTGCATGGCCAAAGGAATAAATCTATGACTGTAGAATTTTGAACAGAAATAGGCCAGTGGGAAAAATTATTTGGGGAAGGAAAAGGCTTTCCCAGAACCCCACAAAATACAGCATCTACTTTATCTATGTCTGGAGTCACTGTATAACTACAGAAATTGTGGGTTTCTGAGGACAATATTCTTGACAATATGCTTGTCAAGTTGGGGCTGGCTCCTAATAGTTGCAGTGATTTGCTGCAATCATGTCACCTCCCAGAAGGGAGTGCAGAAAAAATTCTACTGTGGTTTGGGAGGTGCTCAAACGTCCCATTCACTGTTGCTGGCTAGCTGGTTAGGTATGTGGAGCAGCAGGTCCCAGGGCGTGCCCACAGCTGGCAGGCACCCAGCTAAGCGCAGCGTACCTCTGCAGTACTGAGAGCACACCCGGGCCAGCAAAGGTAGTGTGTTACACTGGACAGCCTGGGTCTTCCAGATTGTCGTCTGGAGGGCCACAGTGGCCTGGCATGGACAGTGTGGACTCCCAGAAACTGGCTCGGAGGGGCTTTTGGCCAGCGCAGTTCTCAGCAAGAAATGGGGTAGGAAACAGGGAATGGATGAGAAGGAAGCAGGTGGAAGAGTTAAAAAAAAAATGAGAGAACCTGAAAGGCCTCCTGAATTAGGTGTTCAAAGGTTACAGCTCAGCTATAAACCCCTTGGGTTGAGTCTGCTTACTTAATTAAAGCTGACACCATCTTCTTGATTCCCTGGGGTTCTTCCCCTACTCTGATTTACTACAAAGAAGGAGGCAGCCATTTTCTTCCCTCCCACCTCTCTCTCCGCCCCCTTGATATCCCTAGAGAAACCACCAGCCCTTTTTGCTTGCGGGGTGATGGTAGTAATCAGATAGACAAATGGGGGAGGAAACAAAAATAAAAGGGCAAATAAATAAAAATATAGAGTGGTTACAAAGGTTCAGCATCTTATCGAGGCCTTAGTCATTGTCAGTTTCAGTTCTCAACTCTTTCTTGGTTGGATGCCTGAGCCTAGTGGTTATGCGCTTGTACTCTGAATTCAGACAGAACTGGGTGTAAATCTTGTTGCCACTTAAAGACACAAAACCTTGGTCAAGTGCTCACCCCTCTCATTCGTACTTTCCTGTCCTTCCTTTCAAATGAAAAGAACAGTAATAATTCTATCACTGGGTTCCTGAAGGATCCAATGAGAAAATATAAGCAAAACACTAGCCTGGTGTTTGACATGTGGTCAACGTCCTATAAATCTTACCTGGTTTTGTTATCAGAGGTATATGCGCAGACTGATTCAGTGACAGGCTCTAGCAAATGATGATCCACTGTCTGTTTTTGCACAGCCCACAAGCTAATAACGATGTTTATAGATGAACATTTGCAGTGGATTTGATGAGAGTGAACACTAACTTTGAACCCCAATTAAGTGAAATGTTATCCTCCCAAAAATAAATTCCATTCTTTTCACTACACTGTACTATAAAAACAGTAATTATTATATTTTGAATTTTGTCAAGAAAAAAATGTGGAAATATGTTTTCTCTCTTGTTTTATAAGTACTTATATAATATCCTCAATATTACCCATTGGCCCATGAAGTCTAAAATATCAACCATCTGGCCCTCTACAGAAAAAGTTTGATTCCCGTTCTAGAACAATCTACCACTATCTATCAGTAGGCATTTACTCTTTATACCAGTATTTTCTATTTGAAAATGACCTAAGAATATACTAGGCAGTCTCTACTAATCAGGGGACATACCTATAGTTCTACGGTGGGATGAGATCCTTGGGAAAACTTACAGAGACTGTTTTGATATCACTTTCAGAGACTGAACATAGAAACAACTGCGACAACCTCACTGCCTCCTGAGCTCCCTGATGACTGCCGATCCCATCCCAAAAGCCAGAACCCAAAGGTCTTCAGCCTCTTATAAACACCTATCTCTGCTTCAGATGAGCTTGGCAAGACTCAAATGAATCAATCCATGGGCAAGGATTATCCATCTTCTGATGGAAGCCAACAGTCTCTCTTCTTATGTTTATGTTCTTCTTATGCTTATGTTGTGACAAGGCACAGTGTCACCACTGCCAACAAAGAACAAGTGCAAATCCGATGGGCCCAATTAGTCAGGGAATGTGGGACTTTCCTGAAACTCTTTCCTGGAAGTCTGGAATGGCGGCCACATCACTGGCCAGACAGGAGCACTCCCCATCCCCCAAGCCCCAACTGAACCCAAAAGGGTTCCTGGAGGTTCATACAAACCAGCTTCCTCATTACCCAGGTGCCAACCAGCTCCAATGCTCCCTCGACCCTTGTTTGGCCTGAGATAATAGACACAGGGAGAGTCTGGCCCCGTGTTCCATGAACTCTGACTGCAGTCTTTCACGGACTAATCTTTAGCGTGATCACTCAGCTCCCCAATGCATAAGGGCACAAAGAAGCTCAAAGAAGCACAAAGTCTACTGGAATGTCTTAAGGTCTATGCTACCTTCTCCGTCCCTCCAGCCTTTCTGCAGATAAACACACAGCAGTTCTAACCTCATATTCACCCCAATCTGGAGGCAGGAGAGGGTAAGTCAATAAAATAAATGCCACAGCAGCCCTGAACGGCTCTATGCTAAGGGGTTTCTGTACTCTCTGGAGCAGCAGCCCCAATCCTGATGGTAAGTCTCTTCAACCGCACCATTAAATTAACAAGTAACGGCGCAGACTCTGTCGTCCTGAGATGAATAACAAAAATCACGTTGCGGTGCCCATTCCAGGTAGGTTGAATCACCCCAGGCCTATAGAAAACCTGATTCCCTGGAAGGCAGAGGCACCAAAGGCCCACCGATCAATAAGCAGAGATCCAAGTGGTAAGGAGGGGAAGCTACCGGCCTTCATACAGCCCGCTTCGTGTTTCTACAGCATCTCTGGCCATTCCTACATTCAGTGTCACTCACAAATAACAACTTGTCACATATTGGAATTTTTTTCTAGCTTCCAAGGGCATGTTAGAATGTTTGCAAACTTTTCTCCTTAAGAGACTAAGTTATCAACCACGTCAGTGAAAAGATAGAAGCAAAATCTAGGCACACAGAGTCCCTGACCAACAGCAACTCCTGTTCAAAAGGCCCAGACGCTAACCAATTGCTGGGAATTTGAGATGCATTTTTCCCAGAGGAATCTGCCACCTGCTTAACCAGTTGATCGAGGTACATGGGCCAAAGGCATACAGTGTGCCTAGCTCTGTGCTGAGAGCTGGCATGTTCATTTCATGAATGTGAGCAGTAAATCTGTGCCGAGTTTCCACCATTACCCCTGATTTCACAGATGACAAAACTAAAGTGAGAGGAGTGCAGGTGACTTCCCCCAAGGTCACAAGGACAACAGCCTGCAGGACTGGATTTGGATCCAGGCAGCTGGACCTCAGAGTGTACGCCCTCAGCCACTCAGCAATACCACCGCCCTCCAAGAAATAGTGATTGGATCAAGCCTAATCCATATTCTCAAATCTTCTATGCTGAAAACTATATGACATTATTGAAAGAAATTGGAGGAGACACAAAGAAAGGGAAAGCTATTCCGTGCTCAGGGATTAGAAGAATAAATATAGTTAAAATGTCCATACTACCCAAAGCAATCTATAGATTCAATGCAATCCCAGTCAGAATCCCAATGACATTCTTCACAGAAATAGAACAAAGAATCCTAAAATTTATATGGAATAACAAAAGACCCTAGATAGCCAAAGCAATCCTGAGAAAAAACAATAAGCTGGAGGTATCACATGCCCTGAATTCAAAATATACTATAAAGCCATCATAACTAAATCTTCTATGCAGAAATGAGGGCCAAGTTCCAATCTGAGATGCCAAGGCCTCCCCTTTGCCTGCTGTCGCAAGAGCAAGAAGGGGTTCTCTGATGCCCGGAGGGGTCTGGTGTTTGCCTGGGGTTCTCCTGGATGGGAACAAGGCCTGAGATTCTAGAGGGCTCTGGTGTATGTGAAACCAGAGGATGTCTGTGCTATGGACTGAATGTCTGTATCCCCCACAAATTCATATGCTGAAGCCTGTCCCCAGTGTGACGGTGTTAGGAGGTGCGTGTTCGGGAGGTGATTAGGTCATGAGCATAGAGTCCTCCTGAATGGGATTAGTGCCCTTATAAGGAGAGACCCCAGAAAGCTTGCTTCCTCTCTCTGCCCTCCACCATGTGAGGGCACAATGAGAAGACATTTATGTGCAAACCAGGAAGGGGCTTTGCCAGACACTGGATCTGCCGGCACCTAATCTTGGACTTCCAGCCTCCAGAACCATGAGAAATAAATGTTTGTTGTTTAAGCCACCCAGCCTATGTTATTTTTGGTATAGCAACCCGAACTAAGATAGTCTGTGTCCTGTTTTTATCAACAAGCCCGACACTAGTCAGGGACATCCTATGTTTCCAAATAAAGAAGTTTCTGTAATACGAATTGTACCACTGTAACTCAGGGAGCCCAAAGCGCCATTTCAGTTTAGTGATATTTTTTAAGATGTAAGTTCATTTTCATCATAAGAAGGGCTTGCATTTATCTCCCTACAGGGCAATAATGAAACTAATCAATCCTCCAATAAACTTAGGCAATGATTAATAAATCAGTGTCAGATAGAGTCATCATAAACTGGAGAGAGCGATGATAAAAAAACCAAAATGCTGTATTGCCACTGTACCCTCTGTGGTCAAAAGAGAAGATATTTATTGATGAGAGACCGACATGAAGGAATTATTAATTACTGTTTGGCCCCCGGAGGAAGGGAGGCCTGCCAGCACTCGCCCATAGGCTCACAGTGGGAACTGAAAAGATCTGGGCCAAAATGGGTGGCATTTTTCGTTCCACCCACATTCATTCCTGGCCATTCAGCAATTCAGCTGTGGCATCTCCAGACACAAAAACACTGCGCTCACAAATTCCATAAGCCTTGAGAGTTGGCGGAAACCTTAGAGACCATCCAAACATCTAGAAGCATTCTGGAAACCTCTCTTTCCTTCCTTCTCCACTTCTAATCCACCAGCGAGTCTCACTGGTCTACCTCCAAAATATTTTCTGAACCTGTTCATTTTCACCAGGGCCACTGCTGCCACCCTGGCTTTGGCTACCAACATTTCGTACCTCCAGTTGGCGTTCCTGTGTTTATTTTATCAGTCCTTCTCAAGACCACACACATACATTCTCCATGTGTAATTCAAATAATCCACACACCTGCTTAAAGCTCCAAGAGTTTCCCCTGTACCCAGAATAAAATCCCAATTCCTTACTAGGTGTATTCGTTCCTGGGGCTGCCTTAATAAGGTACCAACAACTAGATGGCTTCAAACAACAGCAATTGATTCCCTCACGTTCTAGAGGCCGGAGACCGAGGTTTCAGAAGAGCCACACTCCCTCCAAAGGCTCTAGGGGAGAGTCCTTCCTTGCCTCTTCCCTCATGTCTGGTGTTGGCCATCAGTCCTTGGCATGCCTTGGCTTACAGCTACATCACTCCAGTCTCTGCCTCTGTCGTTATATGATGTTCTCCCCGTGTGTCTCTGTATTCACATGCATTTTCCTCCTCTTATGAGAATGCCAGTCAATTTTGGTCCAGCCTAATGACCTCATCTTAATTTCATTACATCTGCAAAGACCCCATTTCCAAATAAGGTCACATTTACAGGTACCAGGAGTTAGGACTTCACTATATCTTTTTGGGGGGCATAGTTCAACACAACATGAGGCCTCCCCGGCCCCCACAGTGTGGCCCTGCCTCCCCCGTCTCACACATCCTACCCTCTCACACACTGGGCTCGCACCACACCAACCTTCTCCCCGTCTGCACGTGCACCATGCTCTACCCATCTGGCACTGGTCGTAGGTCCTACTGGATCGCTCTCTGTCTCCTCTTTGCACAACTGGCTCCTTACTTATCAATTAGCTTTGATGTCACACCCTCCAAAAGCTCCTCTCTGATCCCCCAATTTAGTGTTTCAGAGAATCACATCACCCCATCTCAATTCTCTGCATAGCCTTGCACTCTGATATTGCCTGATGCTTTCGTTCACTGGTTTACGGTCCGTCTTCTCCCTCTAGGATGTCAGCTCCACGCATGCAGGGATCTTGTCCATCCTGTTCACGCCTGTGGTCCAATACCTGGAACAGTGCTTGGCATCAAGCTCTCAATAAATATATGTGGAATAAAGGAATGAGTAAATTCTTATTTTACAGACGAGGAAACTAGGGAGCAGTAAAATGATCATATGAGCATTTCTACTAAACTACACAACCTGGATATAGAATGTGCATGTCCCTCTAAACCTGTGACCAGCAAACTTTTTCTGTAAAGGGCCAGAGAATAAATATTTTAGGCTTTGCAGGCCATACAATCTGTGTTACGGCCACTCAACTCTGCCAAGGGCAGTCAGAGATAATATGTAAATGGATGAGTGTGGCTGTGTTCCAAGAAAACCTTCTTTATGGACACTGAAATTTGAATTCCATATATTTTCACATCACAAATCTTATGCTTCTTTTGATTTATTTTCAACTGTTTAAAAAGGTAAAAAAATATTTGTAGCTTACAGGCCATACAAAAATAGGCAGCAGGCTGGATGTGGCACACAGGCTGTAGTCTGCCAACCCCTGTTCTAAATTCACACATGTCTATTGACAGACATGAGAGACTGTTTTTGGAAAGCACAGTAGTAACAGTAGCTCATGCCAAGCCCTGTACTGAGCACTGTAGCATAAGGGCACGTACGGGATCAGGCATGCAGTATTTTGTCCCCAGTTAACAAATAAGAAAAATCGAAGCTCCGAGATATTAAGCTACTTACTCAAGATAATAGAGAATTAAGCAACAGCCTTAGGAGTGGAACTCAGGCAGGCTGACTCGATTACTTTATACTCTGACTTTGCTGCATAATAAAATGATATTAATGGTAAGGATAATATTAACAACAAGTCGAAAGTAATCACTAACCAATATTCCAGGAACTGTTTACGGCACTTTATAAACTGGTATCCGTCACAGCAATTCTGTGAGGCAGGACTTCTTTTCATCCCCATTTTACAGATGAGGAAATACTGGTGCGAGAGGTCACCCAGCACACAGGAGGCAGAGCCCGGAATGAAGCTCAGGCCATCGACTCCCAAGCCCTCCTCCTGTCCAAGGCTGTGAGCACCTCACCAGCCAGCCCCAGTCTGCTCCCATCCCACTTACTGGCCACCTGCAGCCACACTTGGAACCACTGAGTCTCGTTCAGGACCTCCCGGCAGGTGTAGTTCCCCTCATCCTGCAGGCTCAGCGCCTCAATGTGCAGGGAGCTGGCATTCGCCAGGGAGAAGCGCGGCTCGGCTGGTGGGAGGCTGGAATTCGAGGACAGGAGGAAGACGGGCTCTGAGTCATTGCGGTACCAGGTCACTAGGCCCCTCGGTCCCGAGATGTCGCCACAGGGCAGAGTAATGTTCTCATGCACTTCTCCGATGACAGCAGCCTCCAACCCTGTACAAGGAAAGGTCAGGCTGTGACTACCTTTACTGATCTCTGAAGGATCTCCTTTTTGCAGCCCCTCTATTAGAATTTAAAAAAAAAAAAAAAACAGGAGGAAGATCCAAGATGAGCAGACTTCTTTGTCTCTCCCCCTTCGAATCTACAACTAATTGGACATTCATCGCTTGACAAAGGATATCTATATAGCATCTCAGGACATTAGAGAGACCCACACTGCTATGCATCACAAGGCGGACAGACTTCCCTCTGGGAGGAGGTGGAGATAGGTGAAAACTCTCTGACCCCGACCCCTGAACAGCCTAGAGCCTGCGGGCAGCTTTCTTCCAGTGGACGCCCCCAGAACATTGCCGCACACCAAGGACAGGAGGGAGTGCACACCAGAGGAGCGACAGTGGAAACAGGTGAACAGAGCCCTACCTAAGCCCCCTGCAATTACACCTGAGCCCAGAGGGAAGCTCCAGAGTTACACACCGGAGGCAGTGGGGAAAACCCCTACCTGCCGTTAGTGGAGAGGTCCCACCCAGCATCCACAACGCCTGGAGGATCCCGGAGAGAATCCCAAGCAGCGCGCCGGCCTGCCAGCTGCCGCCGCCGGCTCCTCTGACCGGGCTTCCGCCCGGGAGGGAATCAGGACTACCGGAGATCTCCTGGGAGAGGTCCGGGCCTGGGTGGAGCTCCAGCGGCTGGCTACGCGGCCCGGGGGAGAAACTCTAGAGTTCAGTCCCAGCAGCAGGCAGAGTCTTTCCCTGCCATTATCGGAGAGGCCCCGCCCAGCATCCACAACGCCTTGGGGCTCCCGGAGAGAATCCCAAACGGCCCGCCGGCCGGCCAGCTGCCGCCGCCGGCTCCACTGACCAGGCTTTCGCCCAGGAGGGGCTCGGGACTACCGGAGATCTCCTGGGAGAGGACCAGGGCTGGGTGGAGCTCCAGCGGCCAGCTACTTGGCCTGGGGGAGAAACTCTGAAGTCCCGTCCGGGCAGCAGGCAGGGTCTTTACCGGCCATTATCGGAGAGGCCTCACCCAGCATCCACAACGCCGGGAGGGTCCCAAAGAGGAGAATCCCAGGCAGGGCGGCAGCCGACCAGCTGCCACTGAACTCAAGGTATCCAGCTATCCCCTAGACAGGGCAATGGGCTCCCCGAGATCCTATGGGAGAGGACTGGGGCTGGGTGGAGTTCCAGCGACCCGGCTCTGTGGCCCAGGGGAAAACTCTACAGTCTCACAGAAGCCTCAGTGATAGCCTCTGCACAGCACTAGTAGAGAGCACCCATCTGGCAACCACAAGGCTGGAAGACCCTGGGACAAAAGTAGCATAGCTAGGCGAGCTAACCACAGACTGTAGAAAATTCCCATAGCTCTGCTGTGGCCCATAGTGGACAAGCGAGATTTTGTGGGCACCGACAGTGACAGAGCTGCAAATATAAGTGATCCTGCCCCTGGCCACTGGGAAAGCCCATAACACTGCTGCAGAACCTAAGGAGGGAGCACGTCTAGGTGGTCTGCAACAGTAGGCACCAGCAGTCTGAAGCCCCCCTGTGACGGCCTCCACAGCTGAAGAGGGAACCCACAGGATCACTGTGACTGTGAGGAGGGGCCCAGGCCCAGTTAGCAACAGCTGATAGGGTTCCTGGTTGGAGCAATATAAACAGCTGTCCCCCCACCACACCAGTAGAAACAAGTGGAAGCAGTAACTAAACTCTATCTCTATGCGGAGGCACAAATCTAGCAATATGAAAAAATATATTAAATCTCCAGAACAGAAGGAAAATGACAAACACACAGAAAACAATCCCAAAGACAATGAAATATACAACCTAAATGATGATGACTTCAAAACAGCCATCATTAAAAAACTCAGTGAGTTAAAAGAGAATTCAGATAGACTACTCAACGAGTTCAGGAGCTATGTCACAAAAGAGTTCGATACTATAAAGAAGAACCAAACAGAAATACTGGAAATGAAGAACACAATAGAGGAGATTAAGAAAAATCTAGACGCGCTGAACAGCAGGGCCGATAATATGGAGGAAAGAATTAGCAATTTGGAAGAGAGGAATATGGAAATGCTGCAGGCAGAGGAGGAGAGAGAGCTAAGACTAAAAAGAAATGAAGAAACTCTCCGAGAATTATCTGATGCAATTAGGAGATGCAACCTAAGGATTATAGGTATACCAGAGGGAGAAGACAAGGAGAAAGGGACAGAAAGCCTATTCAAAGAAATAATGGCTGAGAACTTCCCAAACCTGGGGAGAGAGATGGAACTTCATGTGACAGAAGCCAATAGATCTCCAAACTTTGTCAATGCAAGTAGACCAACCCCAAGACATATAGTAGTGAAGCTAGCAAAAGTCAACGACAAGGAGAGAATACTAAGGGCAGCCAGGCAGAAGAAATTTACCTACAAAGGAACCCCCATCAGGCTTTCAGCAGATTTCTCAGCAGAAACTTTACAGGCTAGAAGAGAGTGGAGTGATATATTCAAAAATCTGAAGGACAAAAACCTGCAGCCAAGAATTCTCCACCCAGAGAAAATATCCTTCAAATACGATGGAGAAATAAAAACTTCCCCAGATAAACAAAAATTAAGGGAGTTCATTGCCACCAAACCTCCTCTTCAAGAAATGCTCAGGAAAACCCTCATTCCTGAAAAATCAAAAGAAGGAAAAGGACTACAAAACCAAGAGCAAAGGAGATAAGTAGAAGGACAACAACAGAGAGTAGCAGCTCTCCATCAGAACAGACTAAACCATGGGACGAGACACAAAGGAAATTCAAGAGAACCGGAAAACAAGACGTAAAATGGCAGCAGTAGGCCCCCACATTTCAATAATCACTCTAAATGTAAATGGATTGAACTCTCCAATCAAAAGACACAGAGTGGCAGGATGGATCAAAGAACAAGACCCAACAATATGCTGCCTCCAGGAAACACACCTCAGCCCCAAAGACAAACACAGACTCAGAGTGAAGGGATGGAAGACAATACTCCAAGCTAATAATGAACAAAAGAAAGCAGGTGTCGCTATATTAATATCAGACAAAGTAGACTTCAAAGCAAAACAGGTAAAGAAAGACAAAGAGGGACTGTATATAATGATAAAAGGGACTCTCCACCAAGAAGACATAACACTTGTAAATATATACGCACCCAACAGAGGAGCACCAAAATTTGTAAAGCAACTCTTAACAGAACTAAAAGAAGACATCAACAACAATACTATAATAGTAGGGGACCTCAACACCCCATTAACACCAATGGATAGAACATCCAGACAGAAAATCAACAAGGAAATTATAGAATTAAATGAAAAATTAGACCAGATGGACTTAATAGATATATATAGAACACTTCATCCAAAAACAGCAGGCTACACATTCTTCTCAAGTGTGCATGGAACATTCTCAAGAATAGACCATATTTTGGGAAACAAAGCAAGCATCAATAAATACAAGAGAGTTGAAATAATATCAAGCATTTTTTCTGATCACAATGCTATGAAACTAGAAATCAACTACAAGAATAAAGCAGAGAAACGTGCAAAAATGTGGAGACTAAACAACACGCTACTGAACAAACAATGGATTATTGAAGAAATTAAAGAAGAAATCAAATATTATCTGGAGACAAATGAAAATGAGAACACGTCATACCAAATCATTTGGGATGCAGCAAAAGCAGTCCTAAGAGGGAACTTCATCGCAATACAGGGTCACCTCACAAAACAAGAAAAAGCTCACATAAGCAACCTCAAACGACATCTAACAGAACTAGAAAAAGAAGAACAAACAAAGCCCAGAGTCAGTAGAAGGAGGGAAATAATAAAAATAAGAGCAGAAATAAACGATATTGAAACTAAAAAGACAGTAGAAAGGATCAATGAAACAAAGAGTTGGTTCTTCGAAAAAATTAACAAAATCGACAAACCCTTGGCCAGACTCACCAAGAAAAGAAGAGAGAAATCTCAAGTAAATAAAATTAGGAATGAGAGAGGAGAAATCACAACAGATACCAAAGAAATACAAGGGATCATAAGAGAATACTATGAAAAACTATAGGTCAACAAATTGAACAACCTAGAAGAAATGGACAAATTCCTGGACTCTTACAACCTCCCCAAACTGAATCAGGAAGAAATGGAGAATCTGAATAGGCCAATCACAAGTAAAGAAATAGAAACAGTAATCACAAACCTCCCCAAAAATAAGAGTCCAGGACCAGATGGCTTCTCTGGAGAATTCTACCAAACATTCAAAGATTTAATACCTATCCTTCTCAAACTATTCCAGAAAATTGAGGAAGATGGAGTACTCCCCAACACATTCTATGAAGCCAACATCACTCTGATCCCCAAACCGGACAAGGACAACACAAAGAAGGAGAACTACAGGCTGATATCACTGATGAACACAGATGCAAAAATCCTCAACAAAATTCTGGCAAACTGAATACAGCAATACATCAAAAAGATTATACACCATGATCAAGTGGGATTTATACCAGGGACACAGGGATGGTTCAACATCCGCATGTCAATCAACGTGATACACTACATTAACAAAATGAGAAACAAAAACCACATGATCATCTCAATAGATGCAGAGAAAGCATTTGACAAGATCCAACACCCACTTATGATAAAAACCCTCAATAAAATGGGTATAGAAGGAAAGTACCTCAACATAATAAAGGCCATATATGACAAACCCACAGCCAATATCATACTCAACGGACAAAAACTGAAAGCCATCCCTCTGAGGACAGGAACAAGACAAGGGTGCCCACTTTCACCAATTCTGTTCAACATAGTGCTGGAGGTGTTGGCCAGAGCAATTAGGCAGGAAACAGAAATAAAAGGAATCCAAACAGGCAATGAAGAAGTAAAACTCTCGCGTTTGCAGACGACATGATCTTATATATAGAAAACCCCAAAGAATCCATAGGAAAACTATTAGAAACAATCAACAGCTACAGCAAAGTTGCAGGGTATAAA